TTTGGCCAGTTTCAACGTCTTAGACGGATTTGCGATACCGATAATGAATATGAAGTGCAAGCTAAAGTCCTGTCCAACCGATTTTTAGAAAGGGGCTATCACACAGAAACTGTACAAAATGCTTATAAGAAAGCCCAGTCTATTCCTAGACCAGAGTTATTCCAGAAGAAGACAAAACGATCCTGTTTACAGAATCAGGCCTATTTTGTGACAGAATATAGCTCTTTGGCCAATCCCATAAAAAGGATTATACACTCAAATTGGAATCTTATTAAGAGTGATCCTGTTCTTAGTGAAGTGTTTTCTTCATCTCCAAAAATAAGTTTCAAGAGGGCTCCAACTTTACGAGATAGGCTAGTATCTAGTCATCTTCCTGCCATAAAACAGACCACTTGGCTTAACAGACCATTAAAAGGTACTTACAAATGTGGGTCTTGCAACCATTTATTACCAGTATTAAAGAATGCAAAGAATTCCGTAATTTCAAGACAGATAAAAGGTACAACGTAAAGGCATTCATTAATTGCAACACCACTTTTGTGGTGTATAGGTTATCATGCAAATGTGGATGTTTTTATGTAGGCCGGACCAAGAGACGTCTCAAAGACAGAGTATCGGAGCATAAGAATGCCATTAGAAAAGCTAACTTAAATTTTATGGCAAAACACTTTCTAAATGTGCACAACAGTAATCCAGAAGGCCTAATGGTTGAGGGTTTAGAAACGATTAAAAAGAATATTCGGGGTGGTGACCGATTAAAATTACTTTTACAGAGAGAAACTTTTTATATATATGAGTTACAGGCCACAATATACCCTGGTTTGAATGAAGAAATAGATTTCAGTCCCTTTTTGTGATATGCCTTCAGTTTTTTTTTTGTTTGTTTGTTTTTTGTGACTATGTAACCCCCTTGAGGGCCTTCTCTGTATGTCCTTGTAATTTGTCATTCAGGCGTTTCTAATTAGCATCTATAAAAGAGGAAATTGTTTGATTGAAAAACATACCCTGAAGGAGGCTGTTTGTGCCGCTACGCGTGGGTTGTTTTTTCCCCCCATGTTTTTTTTTAATTTTCTACTATGAAATAGCCAGTTAAATAAAGGCTTTTTATTAATTCCTAAGAAGAGTGCCTTGGATTCCCTTCTACTACATGTCACTGAATCAGATTTAGTAAATTACATTTTAAGAAATATAAAATAATGCATACAGAATACAAAAGGCATTTAAACACAACATGATGAAATAACACTTGGGTTGCAGATTTATTCAGGCAGAAACACACGGACAGACTCACTTTTTCTTTAGCCAAAAAGGTTACCAATGCAGTGTATAAGGCAAGAATATTCCAGCACAAAAACAGTGCCTTTTACACCATAATAAACCAATGAAAGCTGTTAGACCTGAATTTTCATTTCTGTCTCTGTTGGTTGTTGTTCAGATGAGAATAAGGCACCGTGGATTCTTTTTCTCAAGAGAAATATGATTAAACCAGCTATAAGCACTAATAATACAACAGGTAATACAATGTAAATCCAGTGCAAAGGCAATGATGTCACCACATCTGGTTCTGTTTCTTCTCTTTGGTTTCCTTGATCAATTATTACATTTCCTTTTTCTGCTGTTGATTCTGCAATAAAAAAAGTAAAGAAAAAACATGTCTGCACTGTGATAAAGACAACAAATCCATCCATAATTATACTGGAACATTACTAGTGAATGCCAACTATTTAATCATGAATTAATAGGCCAGTTTCACACACCGTTGATGATCAGCTGTACAATCTCCTGTTCGTCTGATGGAGTGATTTGGCAGCTGTATATTCCTCCATCAGCGAATTGAAGATTGTTGAGTTTGAGTGAGAAGTTTCCTTTATCATACTCCTTTGGGAAAGTTTCGGCTCTGTTCTTGTACTGGTCCTGTTCTGATAATGAATCTTTATGCCCGACTATATCATACACAAGCTTGCTGCCATTGTGTCTCCAGTGTACATTAATGTCTTGAGCTTTAAGATCATGTTCAGTGGAAGAACACGGCAGAACAACAGAACCACCAATAACAGCCTCTACTGTTTCCTGCAGAAACACTGAAACCACAGAAACTGTGAACACCCAATCTGTGGCATTACTTTATCTTTTAAATTCGGTTTGTTTTGTTCTCACCTTTATTTATCAGCACTGTAAACACACAGATGAAGCAGTATCTGCAGAAACAGAAAAAAAAAATTGTTTCCTGTAGGTTCCTGATGAGTATAAAGCCTCTAAAAGTAATTCATTCAGATCTGTTTAGAACATCTTGTTTTGATTTTGAAGTAAATTGTTCAAATTAGATAATTTGGTCTTTATCATTTACTAAATAGTTACTGTAATTTAGTCATTATTGAATAATTACATAAAATACACTCATTATTCATAATTTACTATTGGATAACTGAGTGGAAGCATTTCAAACTGGAAAAAAAAAGAAAATCTTAGGCCTTTTCTTTGCATCATCATCATCATCATCATCATCATCATCCTGTGTGGTAAACTCATCTGTAAATGTTACTGTTTAGCAGTAAATGTTCTTAAAGCTGCCTTACTCCACTGGTAAAACCTGAATTCATTGAATTCACTATAGAGACTATAGACAAATCAAATTAGTATCACATAAAACGAATAATTGCATAAGCAATGAGATGGTCGTACAAAATGCTAATGCTAAATGCTAATGAATAAATCAAAACAAAGTTAAAGCTATTTCCCTGCAGGTAAACATGTTATAGTCATGCATTACTCAATCCACGTTTAAAGTATTAGCAATGTCAAAATGTTTTTGTTCTGTTTAAGTGAAGCAGTTGAAGACCAAAACATATCAGGCCAAACACCGACACATAAGCACATAAGTATGGAAAAGTACGGCACATTTGTTCAAGTTTTTCACTCAGAGTCAGAACATACCTCACAATCATGATGCCCTAATATTTTCAATACTGTATTAATATATATCAAACATTTCAGAAATTATGATGAAACAATAGTTTTTCAAGAAAAGAAAATAATTCCGTATGTCGAGGCTTGATGCATCTACGGAAACAACCGTGAAATGATCAGACAGACGCATGCGCACCGGATATGATGTCTTATTCGTCCTCAATGATATTCAAGTATATTTAAAAATACTGAGTGTCAGAGAAGTTGAAGTTGACTGACACATGCTTTACAGGGAATGTTTGTACTTTGGCTTTTGACCTTCTGAATCTTCGCCATCAATTATATTGTTTCTGCTGCAAGTCATTGTATCGACAACAATCTGTTTGTCATGTCTGTACTTCAGTTCATCAATAAAACAGCACAAAATTCATGATATTCAGAGATATACGGTTATCAGTTAAAATAAAGATGGATCATTTAATCAGGATCTGTCATGATTAAGAGAATTCAACCGATGAGTCACATCAGTCAGAAATAAAAGTTTTAGGCTGTATAATTTTCCTTTTTTATAATTTTTTTTATTAATTTAAATTATAAAAGCACAGTATAAATAAACATTTTAAAAAATAATTGAATAATGATTCCATTTTGTTATTAACTTACATGAGTGTGAGATCGAAGCGTCCTTTCGTGAACTCCTCTGGGAAACATTGTGTTCTGGATCCTGATTCTCAAGTGAATAATTTCTCCGAATTATGTTTTATATATTCCTGTCATCTTTGAATCTTAACACACCATCATGTCACGACTTCAGTTCATTATCACTGAAAGAGCGAGGAAGAATGCAGGGCAGGAACGTAGAGTTTCAGTGACACCCACATTCATGAGCTGCAGAGAAATTTGCCTTTCAGATTGGGCTTGTTTATTAACAGCGTCAGTAGCATATTTAACTGATAACAGGAGGATATTTATTAGACAAGTCAGTGAATTTCCCTCTGAAAATGAACAAACATTAATAACAGTACACACACAGAGAGAGAGAGAGAGAGAGGAAAATATATTATATAGTTATATCTGATCTATTTAAACTGAACCTTTTTCCTATTGTGTCTTCAACATTCCTGCTGTCATTCCTAGTCTTGACTTTAGTTTACTGTCACTAAAAAAAAACATGATATGAATGCAGAATTTCCAGTAACACCCATGTGTGTGCAGAAACCAAAAGAGCAAGAACTGGAAAAAAAGCATACAGCCTGTTTTTTTTCTTCATGAATTTGTCTTTTCATTTACAGGTTTGTGGAATGAATTGATTGTTTTCATCAAGCACACACATATTTGTTTTGCTTAATACACCTATTATTTCACATTATTACAAAGTACTACACAATATTTGTCTTCAAATATTATTTGTCTAATAGTGTAGCCTATGTACATTTGCTGCATACAAGAGCACATATGTGACTTTTTATTAAACAATATATGCATGCGTCTTCAATATTTGCATTGTTTTCATAAAACCCGGAAGAGAATGTGCATTTGAGCCATTCATGGTTCCATCAGGAATTTCCTGTTATATTCACTATTTGTGAATAAAATAAGGTTGTTAACATTACGTATAGAGACTTTCATTTTTTGTTCTACGTCATTAAATACACAAGCACATGTCTGATGTGAATTTTCACATTGATGTGTTTTTAACATGAGTTACACTTTGTGTTTAATGTGGGAAAACTGCTGTAACGCTTCGATAGTAACTGGTCTCAAAAAGCTTTTCAAATGTGATTAAGTAAAGGTGCATAAAAGTCTTAAAGACTAGATATGTATTAAACAAGGTTAAACTGGTGTCAGGAAACATGTAAATGAACAATCTGCTGGAGTCGTGCACATGATGCAAATGTGTTAAAGGTTAAAGACAAAGACACCATGTACTCATTTGTGGAGTGTGTTTAGTGTAGTTGTGTTCTGTCAGATCTCAACATGAGCAACATATTCATCTGTTTTATCTTGTATGTACACAGAAAGAAAGAAAAATGATGTGATATCAAGAATTAATGAATCAGTGAACGATGAGCAGTTCATATTTTAACAAACATGATTTATGTAAAGATAAATACATAAAAAATACAGAATAAATGTAATATTTCAAGCACAACACCATGAAAGGGCAGAAATGGTCAGGCAGCATTAACATATTAACGGACTTTTTTTAGCAAACAATGTTCCTGTTTCAGTGTTTCGAGATCCTTTTCTGTTATACATTCTGTATAAGAATAACAGGATGCCAATAGAAAGAATTTAACAGCTCAAAACAACTTGAAAGAACCAATGAAGCCTGAAACAATTTGTCAGAAAAGTGAAAGGTGACACTTTTAAATCTGCCTGTCACGTTTCGTTCTTTCATGACAAAAGAGAATAACGCAGCTTCAATTATCTTTGCAAGGACAATAATGATCAAATAATACAGACAATATAAGCAAATGCCATGATATCACAACATTGTCCTGAAACATCTTATCCAATTGATTCATTGTTCTGAAAAAATGATCTGATTGTTCTGATTTTTGATACATTTTATCAAACATAAAATAATACATACAGAGTGTAAAATGCATTTAATACTGGCAAACACAACATTATGAAAGAACACTTGTGGTGCAGAATTGTTCATGCAGAAACATGACAGACTCATTCATTTTTATTTTGAACAAAATATCAAAAAAGCTTTTAGACCTGACTTGTCATTTCTGTCTCTGTTGGTTGTTGTTCAGATGAGAATAAGGCAGCGTGGATTCTTTTTCTCAAGAGAAATATGATTAAACCAGCTATAATCGCTAACAATACTACAGGTACAATCCAGAGCAAAGGTGATGATGTCACCACATCTGAACCTGTTTCTTCTCTTTGGTTTCCTTGATCAATTATTCCATTTCCTTTTTCTGCTGTTGATTCTGCAACCCAAAAAAATTATGAAAAAACATGTCTACACTGTGATAAAGACAACAGATCCGACTATAATTTATATACAGCAGCATCACTAGTGAACATCAACTTTAATCATGTATTAATAAACAAGTTCCACACACCGTTGATGGTCAGCAGTACAGTCTGAAGCTCAGATGAGTGTGAGATGAGGCAGCTGAACTCTCCTGCATCAGTGTGAGTGAGATCTGTGAGTTTGATGGAGAAGTTTCCTCTCTCATACTCTTCAGGGAATGTTTCAGCTCTGTTCTTGTAGTCTGGGTCCTGTGTCTCTGAATGACGGCCTTCAAGTATATCACACACAATCTTGCTGCCATTGTGTCTCCAGTGTACATTAATGTCTTGAAGTTTACAATCTTTAGTGGAAGAACACGGCAGGACGACAGAACCACCAATAACAGCCTTTACTGTTTCCTGCAGAGACACTGAAATGACACACACATTAACTGGAAACACAGTCTACCATTTTGCAGTAAAAGTGTTTATTTCATGCTCACCTTTGTTTATCAGCACTGCAAACACACAGATGAAGCTGAAACTGTAGAAACACACACACACACACACAAAAAAACGATTTACTTAACCTCAACCAGAAGAGCATTTTGCTAGCAACTTTTAAACGTTCATAGAAAGCTCACACACCCAAATTAATGAAAATCAGGTGCAAGACACAAAATAGAAGGCACCAAATCTCATCTCAACACAATATGTGAATGATTATGCTCTTATTAGTCAGAACGTCAATATTTGTAAGACTGATTCTATCTGAACAGTTATTGGGTCATTGGGTAACAGTGATCTGTGAATATGACCGTTTGTGAACCAGTCATTTGCGGACACAGTTTTTCATGTAGGTTTTGTAAAAAGAAATATTGTTTTTTTATTTTGAAGTGACCTGTTATGTAAGATGCCCCATCACAACTGGGGCAGAATGTCTTCATTTAAAGTTGGCATGAAACGGAAGTTGCAACAGTCTTTCTTATTGTGACGTATGAGTGAAATGGCTTCTCGAATAAGAACAAAAAAAGATGGATTGTCCACAGGGAATTGATTGTGGGTGGTTGTGGTTTGCTATTGGTTGAACTTATGTGAGTTTGTCTCTCACAAGGAAACATGCATTTTAAAATAATGATGTGCACGGATGATTCATTTATAATAAATAGAAATAAGAACTGCCAATTTTGGTTCCATGATGAATTTAATCAATACTTCAATACAACACCTATGTTTAGGCCAATTAAATGGAATCATTCTGTTGCTATAATTGATAATTCTTTTCATTAAAAGAAAATATAAAACATAGGTCTATAGCCTAACTCAGAATCTCTCTTTGAATGCATTCTGTCATTTGACCATCAATCATTATTCAACTAAACTGTTAAAATCCATCAATTTACCATTACTTTAGCAAACATTCAAATTATTTCTCTAAATAATATATTGGATGTTCCATCATCATCATGCACAGGTTAAAATCTCTAAATTGTTAACGTACAGTTTAGCAGTTGATCTTCAGTTAGTTCTTCACCCATCTTACCTTTTTGGAAAACCTTAAATGCACTGTAATGCTAGGCAAATCAAAATATATAAACTAAAACTAACTGCACTGAGCATGGTAGGCTAATACAAAATGTTAACACTAAGTGACTAAATTAAAAATGTTACTAGCTATTTACTGCAGATACGTCTCTTTGCCTAATAAACCAAGCATGTTTAATTTATTCATGACGTTCAATGCGGTAGGCTATCCGGTAAATGTTTGTTTAAACAAAACAGTCGATGGCCAAAGCAGACAAACCAAAAGCAAACACCAGCGCTAATGCTTTCTGGGATAGGCTATAACCTTAAACCTAGCCGTACGTTACACGCCTTTGTCCAAACAGCGTTTCATTCAGAAATCATCCTACCTGGTGATCATCATAGTGCCCTGATATTATTCACATACATTGTTTTAAAATATATAACGTATAAATATTTATGAAATTAGGGCCAGATGCTACTTTTTTAACAGAAAGTAGGCTATAACTTCCGCATATGCCATGAGTCGTTTCGTTTTGTCAAATTTAGTGACGTCAACCTGACTTCGACGCACACAGACAAATCAAAACACATGAATAATAGTGTTTCACCATAGCACGTCTAACACATTAACCATATTGTATAGCTATTATATGGGCCTATGTCAAGTAAAACAGCACTCAAAGAAAGAAAATAAATTAAGTCTGACATAAGAACTTACTTTTTTTGTGTGTTATTGTTTGTTTTTTTCAAGACTCAATGCAGAAAGATCTGCCGATCCTCTCGCTTTTCATTCTGATGTGCTGTATGTTAGTTAGTTTAGCAGGAGCTTTTATTTGAACAAGTGAAAGCATCTGAACTGTCGCTGAAAATGAACAAATATGAATACAATATAGTGCACATGTGCTGCTGCACACACAAATATAGCTCACAGGACAAGAATGCATGACGCCCTCATTCTTGAGCTGCAGGGAAACTGAAAGAGAGAGAAGCATAACAAAGATACAGCATGGACTAATTTGCATTTCAAATTGTAGACATATAGGCTACTTTTATATAAAAAATATATATTTATGCATGCATCTGTTTGATTGCATGTGTTTGCTAGTTTGGTTTCATTTTGAACTGTTTGGCACACAAATATTTGTTTTTATTATTTAATTATTTATTCATTCATTTATAATGTTAACATTTCTCTCTCTCTCTCTCTCTCTCTCTCTCTCTATATATATATATATATATATGTAGACCTATATACACTCACCGGCCACTTTATTAGGTACACCTGTCCAACTGCTCGTAAACACTTAATTTCTAAGCAGCCAATCACATGGCGGCAACTCAGTGCATTTAGGCATGTAGACATGGTCAAGACAATCTCCTGCAGTTCGAACCGAGCATCAGTATGGGGAAGAAAGTTGATTTGAGTGACTTTGAACGTGGCATGATTGTTGGTGCCAGAAGGGCTGGTCTGAGTATTTCAGAAACTGCCAATCTACTGGGATTTTCACGCACAACCATCTCTAGGGTTTACAGAGAATGGTCCGAAAAAGAAAAAACATCCAGTGAGCGGCAGTTCTGTGGGCGGAAATGCCTTGTTGATGCCAGAGGTCAGAGGAGAATGGCCAGACTGGTTCGAGCTGATAGAAGGGCAACAGTGACTGAAATAACCACTCGTTACAACCGAGGTATGCAGCAAAGCATTTGTGAAGCCACAACACGCACAACCTTGAGGCGGATGGGCTACAACAGCAGAAGACTCCACCGGGTACCACTCATCTCCACTACAAATAGGAAAAAGAGGCTACAATTTGCAAGAGCTCACCAAAATTGAACAGTTGAAGACTGGAAAAATGTTGCCTGGTCTGATGAGTCTCGATTTCTGTTGAGACATTCAGATGTTAGAGTCAGAATTTGGCGTAAACAGAATGAGAACATGGAACCATCATGCCTTGTTACCACTGTGCAGGCTGGTGGTGGTGGTGTAATGGTGTGGGGGATGTTTTCCTGGCACACTTTAGGCCCCTTAGTGCCAATTGGGCATCGTTTAAATGCCACGGCCTACCTGAGCATTGTTTCTGACCATGTCCATCCCTTTATGGCCACCATGTACCCATCCTCTGATGGCTACTTCCACCATGTCACAAAGCTCTAATCATTTCAAATTGGTTTCTTGAACATGACAATGAGTTCACTGTACTAAAATGGCCTCCACAGTCACCAGATCTCAACCCAATAGAGCATCTTTGGGATGTGGTGGAACGGGAGATTCGCATCATGGATGTGCAGCCGACAAATCTGCGGCAACTGTGTGATGCCATCATGTCAATATGGACCAAACTCCCTGAGGAATGCTTCCAGCACCTTGTTGAATCTATGCCACGAAGAATTGAGGCAGTTCTGAAGGCAAAAGGGGGTCCAACCCGTTACTAGCATGGGGTACCTAATAAAGTGGCCGGTGAGTGTATATATATGCGCTATTCATCCAAATATCTTACCTGCAAAAGCAGAACATTCGTATTATATGTACAGGTCCTTCTCAAAAAATTAGCATATTGTGATAAAGTTAATTATTTTCCATAATGTAATGATAAAAATTAAACTTTCATATATTTTAGATTCATTGCACACCAACTGAAATATTTCAGGTCTTTTATTGTTTTAATACTGATGATTTTGGCATACAGCTCATTAAAACCCAAAATTCCTGTCTCAAAATTAGCATATTTCATCCGACCAATAAAATAAGTGTTTTTAATACAAAAAAAAAAGTCAACCTTCAAATAATTATGTTCAGTTATGCACTCAATAGTCAATACTTGGTCGGGAATCCTTTTGCAGAATTGACTGCTTCAATGCGGCGTGGCATGGAGGCAATCAGCCTGTGGCACTGCTGAGGTGTTATGGAGGCCCAGGATGCTTCGATAGCGGCCTTAAGCTCATCCAGAGTGTTGGGTCTTGCGCAGTGTTGGGGGTAACGAGTTACAAAGTAACGGATTACAGTAACGATATTACTTTTTTGGGTAACGAAGTAAAGTAACGCATTACACTAAAAATATCGGTAACTACACTACTTTACTATACTATAGGAACGCGCTTTCCTGCGTTACCCAAGCCGTGTTTGCTTGTGTGTAAAGTTCTGTCTAGTGGTGCGTGCGCACCGTTGCCATAGAGATCGATTTGAGTGACATAGCTGCCGGTGCGAAGGAGAGAGGGAAATGGAGACGGAGACGGAGACAGGGGGTCTCTGCAGCGCGAGTCTCCGCTGACTGCACGCGCACCTCCCCAAACGGACGAGGCGTTTATACTCGACGCGCTCGCCATTGTACTATTCTGTGAAACGACGGGGCGACTCGAGTAATTGTCCTCTTAACCATCAGGAATCAACGGTGAGAAGAAGAAAGGTCCACACGTGACGATGTTTATTTTAGTAGGCTACATCACCACCAATAACACTACAAAAAGAATCGTGTACGTAAAATCCAGTAAACCCTGAGATTATTAGGCTACTTGTGACATTAGAACAAAATGTGGATATAAAAACATGTATGTAGACTATAGAACTAAATCAACGATCTCTTAAATGGTTTCTAATTTCACTAAACATTTCATCAGAGGCGGACAGAGTACAGAGCTTTGTTACTTGAGTAAAAGTACAGATACCCCTTGCTAAATTTTACTCAAGTACAAGTAAAAGTACTACATTCAGATGTCTACTTAAGTAAAAGTACTAAAGTACTTGTTTTTAAAAGTACTTGAGTATCAAGAGTACAAGAGTAGATTTTCTAAATATTGCATAACTAATCTACTGCCACAGTGCTTACATTTATGCACAGAAACGTCCTACATGGAGTTATGAAAAATGTTAATGTTAATACCTTAGAGAATGTAAAAGGAATTGAAAGTAAAATCAAGTCATTTTCATCTTTTTACCATATTGCTTTATTTAATTTAATTTAATTTTTGGGGCGTCCCATCTTTAAATGCGGGGACAACACACACACACACACACACACACCACATGTAAGGGTGGCGCTGCCAATAAAGCACCTAAAAGCGGTCACAAAGAACCGGCAAAAGGAATGATTATGAATATGTAAAATATAGCAAGGAGATATTTTAATTGTTTATTAATAAACACTTGTTAATAAACAAGTGTTTTCTTTGTCAGTGTCGACGATGCTGACTCGCGATCTTCAGTAGTGAACGCGCCAGAGAGAAATGCACATTTCATACGGATTACATAAGCAGAGAGCAGTCTGTAGTCTGTTTTCTTTTGTTTTGAATTTTTCTGTTTAAAAGTAGACATGTGAGGCAAGTAGGCTACCTTATACACTGAGTTTCGGTTCATTTATGAGACGAGATCCAGTTCACGTGCCGGCGCCTCCGTTTCTTATCTATCGCCTGCTATTTACTTCTTATTTATTAAACCCAGGCAATTGGTTGATGAAACATTGTTTCAAATTAAGATACAATTAATGCAAAACGAAATTCAGGTTAAAGAAAGGTTTTGTGTTTTCTGTTTGATGTCTCTGTGAAAGTTTTAAAGGATTTTTTATGCCGCTTTCAGAGCGCTCACGTCCGTAACGGAGAACACGTCCATAACATTGTTTTTTCCTCATAAATGCAAACCCGAAAAATAAAATAAAACAAAATTAATATTTTATGTACTGTGGAGACTGAGCGCCAACCCTTCTTCATTCGCTGGGTAGTAGGTTTGCGCAGTGTAATTCACATAATCAGTAAAAATATATTTTGCCTCCTAAAGTTTTTTTTTTAAGAAATCAGAAATCCCTCGTGGCTACGCCACTGCCACATTTGAACCTGACTGTGTTAAACACACCACATACTCAAGAACATCAAACCAAATGCTTGGCTTACATTAATGTGTAATATAAAATCTGACCATGGAGTTGACTTTGGCGGAAAGCTGATAGTGATTGCTGATAGGCTGTCCCAATCAGTGGCGCCTGCACAATCCAATCACGTTTGAGAGGGAAACAACAAATTGAGGGTTTCCGAGATTTTTCTTTACTTTTTTTTTTTTTTTTTTTTTACTCGGGTACTCACGGTTATGGATAGAAATGTATTGGAGTAAAGAGTACAATATTTGCCTCTCAAATGTACTTGAGTAAAGTCATGAGTACTCCCCAAAAATGATACTCGAGTAAAGTACAGATCCCTCAAAATTGTACTTAAGTACTGTACTCAAGTAAATGTACTCCGTTACTGTCCGGCTCTGCATTTCATTAAGTTTCGTGGACATTTGATAAAACATGGATCTTTCTATTAAAAATGCTTATTATGCTATTGTAGGCTCATTTTGTAAACATAAGCAACTGATTTAGACACGCAAACTGTGTGCCGATGCGGTCACGGTGAGACGTAGGCTACATGCTCGGGCAGATTCGGCTTCTTGAAGTCGTTCATCCTCGGATTCGGCGCCGCGCACGCTGTTACAAAAACTCT